AAAGGTAGATTTCTATGGGAACGATGGTGTTTGCCTCTTCAAATATTTTGTCAAAGAAAATGATCCACAGAGGCACTTGGTATGGGCAATTCTTGCCCTGAACTTTGTGTGCTTCTTTTTCATTACAGCCTCATACTTGATCATTGGCATCATATCTCGCAAATCTTCTAAAAGTTTGACACAGTCAGGAGGGAACCAACAGATTTCACAACGCAATAGGAAAATGAACTTAAGAATCGCCATCATTATCACTACAGATTTCCTTTGCTGGGTACCCTTCATAGTGATATGTGTTCTACATTCCCTTGAGGTTCTAGATGCAACACCCTGGTATGGCCTATTTTCCATGATTGTTTTACCGATCAACTCCGTCATAAACCCACTAATATATGATGACACTGTAACAAACCTTATAAGCTTACCTATCCAAAGACTCGGAACCCTAATCACTGGTTCAAGAATTTACCGAGAGTTAAGGCTAAGATTACAACGATCATCACCAGTTGAGACCATTGAGATGAATTGTGTGGCCGTACAAGACGGAGAAGTTCCAGGCACAGCAGAGATGACTGAAGTACGAGACAAACAAAGAAATGATTAGCTGAGACAAACAAGGGAGGTTATGACGGTATTTTGAGAGATAAAGCAGTATAAAAACGATCAAGTTAGATGATAACGCCGGAAATGAACGACTTAAATAATATGCAGTAAAAGCAGATGAGCGATGACAGAAGAGGCAAATACAATTTTTAAGGGGAGTCAGTTTAACAGGACTACGTTGTCAACGTGAAAATTAGCATTTATAAATTTGGATGGAAGTGTGGATTGTTATATCAAATCATTATACACTTATACTGACAATAGGTTCAAGGAATCGAATTCCTTTTCAACATTTAATTAAGTACATTAAGTATACTAAGTACATCAAGTACATTAAATACATCATGTACATTAAGAATATTAAGTATATTTAAGTACATTATACGCTGATATTGATATGATATAGCTTCTATCACATATATTTACAAAATTATTTAATATTTATAATAAGTAAAGTGATAATAACAATATTAAATTATGAATGGTTTAGGTAATAACTTATCCATACTAACATACATATTCCACAAAATTTGTTTTATAACTAATTTGAAAATCATAGATCGCAAGGTTGATTTTGAATAAGATATTGCTAGACACTAGTATCGTTATTATTTAACAAATCCAAAAAAAGAATAAATATATTATGTATTTAAAAGAAAAAAAGGAAAACAACAACAAAAAAACCAATAAAAACATATTATCGTCTACATAACGGACAATATATGCATCTCAATCAAAATATTGATTAATTGATTATAATGCTATGTTATTTTGGATTAATTGGAACATTTATTGGATTATTGAATTATGCTGTTATTTTAGTATCTAGAACATTAATAAAAACACGTCTTTTAAGTGTTGTTTAAAATAATTATGTGACGTATTGACTAACGCGTTAGATTGGTTAAACAAAAAAAATTATAATTGTGTAGTGGTGACTGGTGAGAACAGTTGAGATTATCATTGAGTCATTGGGCTCCAATATTAGCATGGATAAGTGCTAACCCCACACTTGACACTTTGTGATGTTTTGTCAAGCCTTCGTATAAAATTAAATTTCAGCAAATGAGTTGTGTCTAATTTATGGTTGAAACTGGATCAGGAAGAGCCATTTTAAAATGAATTCAAATATTTTCAACGGGATTCTGTCAAGCAGAAGATCCTAAAGCCCCTGGAGATCCTCAATTATCTGTAATTTCAAAAATGGTTATCTGGAGGTCAACCATACAAATTTATTAACAGTTGCAAAAGCTAGTAAGTTGTGCTAATTTTATGTTTTAGACTGGATCAGGAAGAGCCATTTTAGGGTCAAATCTTAGATGGCAAGTACGTACGGTACAGGGCTTTAAGTACGTACGGTACAGCTACTTTTAAAGGTACGTACGGTACAGGCACTGTAAGGTACATTTTTTTTTCAAATTTTTAGAATCAACTTCAGTGAATTACTTGCAATTTTTGATTAGTATTATCATCATAATTTTTGAGACAGAACTAGAAGTCGAAAATAAACACACAAATTAACCGGTACTACACTACTACTACTTGTAATTATCGTTAAACTCAAAGCTTCATCCTTTTGTTGCAGTATACGAACACCAGCTTTTCAGCTAGCTCAGGTCGCAACCTTAATCTACGCATGTCCATTGCTATCAACTGGATTTTTACCTTTCAGCCTACTTTATTAAGTATGTACCGTACAGCTAATTTAAAGGTACGTACCGTACGTACTTGCCATCTTAGGGTCAAATTAAAAAATTTCAATAGGATCCTGTCAAGCAAAAGATTCTACAAACATGTACAGGTTCAATAAAGCTATTAGCCTGTGGGTCAGAAAAGCTAAGGCTTGGGGAGCCTGCCACAAGCTAAAGAAGATGTGGAAGTCTGACCTTAGAAGAGGACTAAAGATCCGTCTATTTGTTGCTACTGTGGAGTCAATACTTCTTTATGGTTCTGAGACGTGGACGTTGACAGAGCAATTGAAGAAACGCATTGATGGCTGCTACACTAGAATGCTAAGGATGGCACTTAATGTGGATTGGAAGCAGCGAAAAACCAACAAAGAAGTCTATGGCAACCTACAGAGAGCAACCATGAAGATCCAAGAGCGCAGGATGCGACTAGCAGGCCATATCCACCGACACCCAGAACTAGTTGCAAACCGCTTGCTACTCTGGGAACCAACTCATGGGGTGCGGAGTAGGGGGAGACCAGCCATGACCTATGTTGATAGCCTACGAGCTGACACGGGTCTCAACGACACTGGAGAAATGGGCGGGCTTATGGCGGATAGAGTTTTATGGAGACAGCGCATCAATACTCGGACGCTGAAGCCGCCTTAAGTCAAGTCAGTCAAGTAAGTCTTTAGCCTGGGGTCCCCTGGTAACTTGGTGGTGGACCAGGATACACGGCGACTGGAGAGCTTAGTGAACGGTGAATTTTGACGTATTGGACACACGTTCCATTCATTTTGTAGTGAACGTTATTGAACGTTAGTGAACGTCAGAGATCATCAAAAACAAAAATTCATAAAAATAAAATTTTTGAAATCTTGATTTCCCCAACTGATAATTATTAATTTACCTAGAATGATAAAAATGAAGCAATTTTATTTCTGTGCACAGATTTCTGACTTAGTCGCCATGAGCCCATAATATGATCACACACAGCATTTATGCTACTGAACACTACTAGTAATTTATCCATAACGTTCAGAACGTGAGATGAGTTTTAGTGAACGCATGTACAGAAAAGTTTTAGTGAACGTTCCGTATGTGCATGATTGTGCACTACAACTAAGCTGGAGAGGTAAATCTAGCTCGGGGTCTTTACGATTTGGTAGTACTGATAGTTGGATAATATCCGGTTGAAAGAGACAAGGACAAATGAATCAGGAAGTTAGAAATGTAGGCTGCTTCATTTGTCCTTGTCTCTTCCAACCGGATATTATCCAACTATCAGTATTTCAATCATGAGACTAAGAAATAGCGAACTATTCCATCATTTGATTTGGTTCTTTAGCTCGCTTGGCGACCTCTATTGATGAATTTCTACAGTTTTTTAAGATACCAACAATTTCAGGATGAATCAGACAACACGAACGATGCATCATTTCAACATGATGGTACATAACATGAACCAGATGAACATGCCTAAAATACCCACAGAAGCAATGTGAAAAACTGAGAGATCACATATTCTAATACAGATAAATCCAGCTCGCAGTGCAGCAATCAGATGAACGAAGTACCTTCTTAGATGACCAAGGACCAGATATGATCAGGCATGATGGACTTTGAAAAATTCACACTATTAAAGAAAAGTATAGGTTGTGACCTTGACTGTTTACATTGATAAAGAATGTGTTCAGTAATGTTTGAAGTGATTTATATTTGTGGAAACATTCACCAAATGATGTCATAGCAAATTATGATTAAATCTAATTCAGTTCACTCTCCTAAATCGATCATACCTATAACATCTCCGATTATTGCATGCATGTACTTTCTTTAGTAGTATACGATTATAAGCGGACAATTAATAATAATATAAACCAGTCATTATTCAGACATCCTATGCGGTTTAGCCATCATTGCTTTAGGGGTCAATCGAACAATGATCTCGATGCTAATATTTTGCACCGATAAGTTCACAGCTAGCTTTGACTCTCCATTTTACTTCAATCGTGAAATGTAAAATTAGATTTTGGAGGATATTAGAGGTATTGGTAATAATATTTGTGATATTTATATTAACAATTCTGATATTTGATGATAACTAAAAATTGAATATTTCTTTTCAATACAGTAGAACACCGGAATGCCTAACGGTATTGCTCTCGTGAAAATTCTTACACCATATTAAATGTCTTGAAATTTAGATCGTCAGAATAAGATTCCAAAGGCCCCACATAAATTTCTTTAAAATTCATCTGGCTACTGTACCGAACAGTATTTCAGGGTTTAACTGTATCTCTGTTACTACAAAATACAAATAAAACACGCTCATTATGGTAAGGGGGCTAATCCACAATTAATCTTAAAAATCAAATCAAAAAAGAAATGTACAATACATTTTACTTAAAGAGTATATATAAACTATAACATAATCTAAACAAAATTGTACTATGTGTCGTATCCACAAAGCTGAAAGAAGAAATTCATGTCTACGAATCCACAACCATACAAATCAAGAGATATCTGTGAATAGAAGGTAGGTACATTAAGATAACAATTTGTCAAAGCAGTGAAAACTGAGCAAATTGAATGCAAGTTAAAGACTGGGTTATCCTTTAATTAATTAATTAATTAATTATCCTAAATGGTTGAAAAACATTTATATTCGGCAACCCAATTGTTCTAGGTTTCTCTAAATTCCCAACAAATGAATGCTAAATTGAAAAGAAAGGCATTATGCAGTGTGCACGCGTATCAAAATAAAAATCAGCAGTTCACTAGTCACTACTCTACCAACATGGTGATCAAGAGGGAACACAAGTCCCGAAGGATTCTGGTTAAACGAATAGAGTCATGCACGAGTTCCCATTTGGGGCCAGTGTAAGGCGGATACTGCCCGGGAGGGTATTGGCTGGGCGGGTATTGCCCGGGTGGGTACTGGGCTCCGGCGTTTTGACCTGGTGGGTATTGTGGCCGGGTGTTTTGCCCTGGTGGGTATTGCCCAGGTGGGTACTGAGCAGCGGGAGGATAGTTTCCGTAAGCAGCAGCAGCAGGTCCAGGGTAAGTGTAGTAACCACAGTATGCTGGCATACCGTACGGCATGTTGTACGACGGCTGGTAACCTACACCTGGGAGATATTATCTATTTATTATTATAATTAATTGTGGGTGGCGTCGTCTGCTTACAGTGCTCAATCGGCAAGCCGAGAGCTAGATACAAAATGAAACGACCGGTTGAGTCAGACAAATGTTTCAATCATGATACAAAACCATGATATCATCAGTGACTCAACCGGTCGTTTCATTTTGTATTATTATAATTATATAGTTTGGGATTGGGGGTATCTTGTGAGATATTTAGTAAGTTATTTCATGATGAAACCAGCTTTAGTTAAAGATAATGTGCTTGGGTATATCCTAAATTGTAATAATTAGTTAAACAGCTGATGAATGACAGTGCTGGATAGTATTCGTTACCTCCGCTTGGCAGTGTACCACCGTAGTTGTACTGTTGGGGTGCGCCCTGAGCAGCGAGGGGTGGTGCTTGGGGGGCGGGTGCTTGCCCCATTGGGGAGGCAGTGGCTTGGGGGAGCGGGGCTGGTGCAGCTGAAACAATAAATACATAATAACACATTATCACACTTACACTTTACAGTGCAATGATTCAGTCCAGAAGCAACATTTAAGTGCGGAAAACTTATGCGAAAAGTGCGATTCCGCACCCGCCACGCTTTAATACGTTGCCTCTGAAAAATCAGCTTAAAATTTGAAAAAAATTAATTCTTTTTAAAATATTTGTCTAGGGCTGTATATTATTTTACATGCCATATGCACTGTTGGCACAATCAAATTATACGCGTCTTTACTGTCAGTCATAAGGAATGCGGGGCCAAATTGTAAGTTATAACCGCCATCAGTATTCAGTGAGGCAAGACGAGGGTTGATAATCATACCAGGAGTTGGCCTAGGAGCGGGTGTAGAGTACACCGGAGATGAGGGGGCTGCAGCTGCAGGAGGGGCTGCTGCCGCCGCTGTAAATCATTGTTCAATTTGTGAACATACTCGTCGTATGTTATTGGATATTAATAGAAAGTCTTAGTGTGAAATTAGTGTAGAAGTGAAATCTAAAATAATATGGATTGTTAGTCGGAATTCCAGAGAGCTATAATTTATCAAAGTGACTTCTTGCTTCAAATCAGCCACGTTACAGATCAGTAAAGTTGTTACACGAGGTTACAATATTATTCTTGGTTCTTACTATTTCATTTATTTCCAGTAAAATGGGGTCTTCATTCGAGAAATACTGGCAGTAAAAACTGGGGTATATTGAATCTAAGATCTTAAGATAAAGCGAATTCGTCCTTAAATAGTAAATATCACCAAGAAATGCAATCACCACAGGACACAGATATTTAAAGCTGTATACTATCACTTACAAGATTGGGCAGCTTGTTGGTGGAATTGAGGAGGATCTGGTCTGGTCGGTGGAGCTTTGTTAGCCAGACTTCCTTGTAAGCTCCTACGCAGATTAAAACAGTTATGAGAATATATGGAGTGTTTTGGTTGCTGGTTCAAGCTTTAACATCGAGTTAAATTATGAAATCAATCATCAAAAGTTTATTTTACAACTGAGTATCATAAATTTGACCAAGAAGGCTTACTTCATAAGATCCTCTTTTTCGGTGTTTCTAGCCAAAATAAAGTCGTTGACATTACTCTGATAAGTAGTGAGAATCTTGGTCAAGTTGTTGTAGAATTTGGTACCCTCAGCTAAATTGCTCATCAACTCGATGAAAGCATCATAACCCTGGGCCAGTTCGCTCATCATTTCAGATCTAAGGTCTAAAGTAGCGCCGGTCTTCGATTGTACGAACTCGTCGTTAGCACACTAGAAATGGAGGGTTATTTCAGGGAAGTGGAAGATTTGATTTGTCTAAAAAGATAGATTTGAATGGGAAATGTACTTTGAGATCGTTCAGACAGTGGAACGATGTGAGAGGAAACTAACCGTAATCTTTGCGATGAGTTCGTCCTGCTGCCTGACACTGTCCACCACTGCTGCCTGTTGAGGTCCGTATGTTTTTTCTAAGTGTTCAGTCCTTCATCATTGAACAGATTCGACTCTGTGTTCAGCTGTGAAAACTTCTCGACTGAAAATAGTTCACGTAGTAACAAAATTACTATGACATATTTGATGAAGATTCTCTACAAATATCAAATATCAATGCAGATTGCAAGACAACAAACTCTCACGAAGGCTGCCGATATCGATACTCTACAAAAAGACGGTCATAAAATAGCAGTCTTACTTATTTCTTCAGTGTCACCACCAGCTTTAAACTTCTGTTTAAGTGCGTCCCGTTCTCCTTTCAAAAGCTTGATCTGATCCATAAACGATTTGAGGGACGCTACTGCCTGAAAGATTTGACTGTAATCACTAACAGTTATACAGAAGAAGCCTGCATTTACATTGCCACGTAATGAAATCAGAAGTGATGAAAATCTCTGATTCCAGAATAAACTTACCTTCTGTCCCTGTCCGGATAAGGATTGAGCTCCTCCTACTGGTATACTGTCAATCAGTGTGCTCTGAAGAAGGATTAATTACTGACACCGCATGGAACTCTACAGCCAAAATTTTAATTTATTGGAAGATCAAAGTTACTACCACCTTCTGTGGATGAATCAGGAACCAAGAGATTTGGTGGGGAAATATTTATTATATATTTTTTCACACAGTGCGATGATATTTTGTAGACATGTGTGATGATGTGATGTCATAGATTTTACTTTACTTTACTTTACTTTCGATCCTGATATGCTCCACATCAGTCATCTTTTTGATACGATATCTCCAAAGAGTCGATAGACTCATGTTGGAAGTGAGTTTTGAAGTTTTGTAACGTTTACTAGTGAAACTAAGTACAAATGCCAACGAGCACGTGGTACATGTTCTACTTGTATGGAATCAGCGGGTACGTAATCTGGCAATCCCATCTTTATAAATGAGCCCACCTTGTCGATTGAGTTCTCAGTGCTGATATAATTAATAAAAGAGCGGCCATCGTTGTGTCGATCTGATGAACGAAGGCAAGAAGTATGAAAAACGATCGAATCACAAACAACAAGGTCTACGGAGCGGCTGCAAGAAGATAATTTCACAATACTAAGTTCCCATTCGTCGTTTGCGCCAGAAGTACTTGAGACCAGAATTGCCGGATTTTTGCCGGATAATCGCGCTGCAAATTTCCCAAACTTTTCCAAAATATCACTTGAAATCATGGCCAACTGTCCACAAAACTCGGCAAATATTAACAGGACAATACCAACTTCCACATATACCACTGTGAAGTAATATAGACATAGCGATCACAAGGTAATACCTGAAACACAAGGATAAGTTTTGTTATTTGGCGCTGATTTTTTTGCCGGATTCTTAAATAACGGAAAATCGTATTGATAGATTTTTTTAAAACTCTTCAAATAGTTAGAGCACTATAATACGGTCAATTTCAGGGAGTATAAAAAAAATTCTTCGTCTGTGAATGGAGATACAAGGTCAAACACAAGAAAATATCTTTATTTGGGCTGATTTTTTTCCGGATTCTTGAATAACGGAAAATTGTGTTGATAGATTTTCTTTAAACTCCTCAAATAGTTAGAACACTATAGTACGGTCAGTTTCAGGGAGTTTAAAGAAATTTCTTCGTCTGTGAATGGAGATACAAGGTCAAACACAAGAAAATATCTTCCTGTTTGGCCTGATTTTTCGCCGGATTCTTGAATAACGGAGCTGGAGCTAATTTACTTGAAGCACTATGTGAAGATTATAGAGTCCACGTTATAGTCACGTGCTCCTCCATCTGCATCTACACTGGCACATGCATATGTCGTGTGACACTCCGCACTGCCACGTAATAGTCTGTAATTGGCCAGCGTTTCTGACACGTGACCTCCCTTTAACCAGTTCACTGCCAGAATCCGTTTAGCAGGACAAATAATTCACTGTCAAACTCTTAACAAAGACTCGGTCTGCTTACAGATTCGCAGTGTTCGAACTTACTGTCACAATTTGCACCGAAGTAAGCAAGTCCGAACGGTTTTTTGTCTTTATTCAAAGTGAATTCAATGTTTTTTGAATCTTGGAAACATTTTCATGTTCATGTTGATGTGAAGTTGTAAAACGTTTATTTTGCCAATTGGTTAAATGTGTAATCGTCTAACTTCTTTTAAATCTAGTTTAATCCAAATAGTAATCTGTGAAGTTACTGATCACAGAAAATTATCATTGTAGGTCTACGTGGGTTCCGGTTTTTCCGACTTCGACAGTATAGTGGGGTGTACGATACCAAGTCCTCTGCGGATGGATCCTGCTGAGTTATTAGATGATCCCAAACTTCCATCTTGATTAGACCCTGGAAGATAATTTTACATAGTATGTTCATCCCCACGACCGAGCTACGATCGGTTCAGAAAGTCCTACTTTACATCATCAACGGATGCTACACCCGTCTTTTAATGAAGGCCAAGAACATCTCGTGGAAGAAGCATCCAACCCTCAAGCAGATCTATGGCAACCTTCCATATATTGCCTCAGTGGTTGCGTCGAGGCGTTCCAGATTTGCTGGGCATTGCATGAGAGCTTCTGACCAAGTTATCTCCTCTATCCTCCCCTGGTGACTTGCCCAATCGGGCCGTGGAAGGAGACCACTCACCTTCCTGGACGTAGTAGCTCGTGACACTGGGCTCCAGTTAGACGACCTTCGAACCGTTATGTGCGATCGAGACGTGTGGAGGCAGACAGTGAATGGGATTTCGATTGAGGATCGCCCAAAGTAAAAAGCAAAGTAAGTACATCATCTCTCTATTACCATGTTAGACTTATTAAATTTACACAGTAGGTTCCTGCTTCAGCAATAAAATTTGTGGTTTGAAAACTTAGTTTTAAATTAGTTTAAATTTTTAAGTCTCTATTCTATATAAGTGTGTCTCCAGGCTCTATCTCAGCGACTGTACAGTAGACATTCCCACTTTTCGGCCAGAAAAGTCGTCTCATCACCGTATCAACAGCTTCCAACTGCAGAAGAAAATGTAAGAATTATCAAGTAGGTATCATTGCCATGTTACAAACTTAATACCTTATCGGTTAAAAGTTTTCCGGTTATAACTTTTCTTCAAACGTCTCCAGAGGAAACAGTTATAACTAGTAATAAAACCGAAAATGGGACAGAGTAAAAAAAAAAAAAAATTTCATCCAATCAGTCAATTGTGGGTTCACAAATTTTCAAATCTGAAAATGGGACAGAGTTTTGAAAATACAACTTTTCGTTTTGTTAAGATTTCTGCTGTGAGCTTCCTCCGACCCAAATCAAAATTCCAGCACCCCAATCGTGTCATTTGCTATCTATAGTTGACTCACTAATTGGTTGCAGGTCAGAAATTCGGTCAAAACTGTAAAATTTCGGCCCTGGAAATTTCAGCTTCAAAAACCGAAAATGGGACAGAGTATGGGAGAGTATGATTTTTCAATATTTTTCGAAATTATGACTACCAGTACCTCAATTTGGTTTCATATCATCATTAATTAACTGACTTATTGGTTTGTGGGCAAAAATTTCATCCAATCAGTCAATTGTGGGTTCACAAATTTTCAAATCTGAAAATGGGACAGAGTTTTGAAAATACAACTGTTTGTTTTGTTAAGATTTCTACTGTGAGCTTCCTCCGACCCAAATCAAAATTCCAGCACGCCAATCGTGTTATTTGCTATCTATAGTTGACTGACTAATTGGTTGCGGGTCAGAAATTCGGTCAAAACTGTAAAATTTCGGCCCTGGAAATTTCAGCTTCAAAAACCGAAAATGGGACAGAGTATGGGAGAGCAGATTTTTCAATTTTTTTTGAAATTATGACTACCAGTACCTCAATTTGGTTTCATATATCATTAATTAACTGACTTATTGGTTTGTGGGCAAAAATTTCATCCAATCTGTCAATTGTGGGTTCACAAACTTTCAAATCTGAAAATGGGACAGAGTTTTGAAAATACAACTTTTCGTTTTGTTAAGATTTCTGCTGTGAGCTTCCTCCGACCCAAATCAAAATTCCAGTCAAAATGTGTATGGAATGTTGGTGGTACAGCTCCCCGTCTATGTTCCACGTGGAGCAGTGTCCACATTCCGTGTCCTTGTCATGAGAGCAGGTGGAACTAAACTCCGTTACTCTGTGCACGTCCACTAAGTCTCCTGTAAACTAAGGAGGGTGGGTTAGAAGCGGGAACAACCAAACCTTATTTCGATCGGTAAATGTGCCTAGTTCTTTTTCGAATTTTCTGTGTTTCAGCAATACTCATAGATTAAAAGCACAAAATATGTGGTACACATATAAACGAAAGTTCTAAACCAATAAAGTGACAACTGGAGTGTTACTCACTGGTTTACTGAAGAATGCGGTATTGGCGAGGTATTTAAGGTACCTGAGCGGACTGGCCCGTCTGTGGACTATAAGATCTTAACAGTAAACACCTGTCCCCTATGTGGGCAGCTGGTGAGAGTCCCTGTGGGGAGGCAGTGCGGAGTGTTACTGTGGGGAGGCAGTGCGGAGTGTTACTGTGGGGAGGCAGTGCGGAGTGTTACTGTGGGGAGGCAGTGCGGAGTGTTACTGTGGGGAGGCAGTGCGGAGTGTTACTGTGAGGAGGCAGTGCGGAGTGTTACTGTGGGGAGGCAGTGCGGAGTGTTACTGTGGGGAGGCAGTGCGGAGTGTTACTGTGGGGAGGCAGTGCGGAGTGTTACTGTGGGGAGGCAGTGCGGAGTGTTACTGTGGGGAGGCAGTGCGGAGTGTTACTGTGGGGAGGCAGTGCGGAGTGTTACTGTGGGGAGGCAGTGCGGAGTGTTACTGTGGGGAGGCAGTGCGGAGTGTTAGTCCCTGTGGGGAGGCAGTGCGGAGTGTTACTGTGGGGAGGCAGTGCGGAGTGTTACTGTGGGGAGGCAGTGCGGAGTGTTACTGTGGGGAGGCAGTGCGGAGTGTTATTGTGGGGAGGCAGTGCGGAGTGTTACTGTGGGGAGGCAGTGCGGAGTGTTACTGTGGGGAGGCAGTGCGGAGTGTTACAGTTACTTTATTAGCTATTTCTCTGTGGGGAGGCAGTGCGGAGTGTTACTGTTACTTTATTAGCTATTTGTCCCTGTGGGGAGGCAGTGCGGAGTGTTACTGTTACTTTATTAGTGCGGAGTGTTACTGTTACTTTATTAGTGCGGAGTGTTACTGTTACTTTATTAGTGCGGAGTGTTACTGTTACTTTATTAGTGCGGAGTGTTACTGTTACTTTATTAGTGCGGAGTGTTACTGTTACTTTATTAGTGCGGAGTGTTACTGTTACTTTATTAGTGCGGAGTGTTACTGTTACTTTATTAGTGCGGAGTGTTACTGTTACTTTATTAGTGCGGAGTGTTACTGTTACTTTATTAGTGCGGAGTGTTACTGTTACTTTATTAGCTATTTCTCTGGGTTGGGTCAGAGGTCCAATCATGCAGCTCGCTGGAGTAGGGCAGTACGTTTTCGTGAAAAGCGAGGGTGAGATGTGCCGAGAGCGGGA